ACCTATATAAGACCGATTATAGAATATTGCTCTCCGGTTTGAAATGATCAATACAGTGGAAAAATCTTTTTGATTTGAGTGCAACCAAATAATGCTAATTAAGTTTCTTTATATAAGTGCTGCTTTTTTTTAATTTAGAGAAATAAATATGTTACTGTTTAAAGACAGCATTATTCAAGTTTTATTCATCACAAAGTTCATTTGTACACGAAAATTAATAAATTAATAAAAAGTATTAAAAAAAACTGATTTCCTTCTGGACACAATAAGTGCAACTCCACAAAATGTTAACCAAGCTGTATTTCGCTATCAATATTTCGTGGCGAATCCTTTGTTGTCGACCACAGTCTTGCATCTTCGAGGCATAGATTTGATCAGGTGATTAATGAAACTTTGTGGAATCGCTGCCCAAGCCTTTTGGATTTGTTCAAACAGTTGATCCTTATTACGAATACCTTCACAATTAATTCTGCGGTTAACGACCTCCCACAGGTTCTCGATAGGGTTGAAATCCGGAGATTGAGGTGGCCAATGCATCACCGATAGGTGGTTGTCTTGAAACCACCACTTGACTACTTTTGCAGTGTGTTTCGGATTGTTGTCTTGCTGAAAAACCCATTTTATTGGCATATTTCATTCAGCATGAGGTAACATAACATCTTTCAGGATAATTTTATACAAGAAACGGTCCATTATTCCATCGATTCGATGTATTGGACCTTGACCGTTAGCAGAAAAGCACCCACAAACCATTACATTGCCTCCACCATGCTTCACGGTCTTATGGCAGTAACGTAAATTGAGGCGTTTTCCGGCTGGTCGACGTACATTGCAAATGTCATTGCTCCCATTGATGTTGAACTTCGATTCATCACTGTTTGCCATTTCTGCACATTCCAGTCAATATGAGATGTAGCAAACAGGATTCTTTTCTTCTGGTTCTTTAGTGAAATCAGCGGTTTTTTTGCAGGGCGTCGAGAAAACCATCCGGCTTCAACAGCACGTCGTCTGATTGTTCGGTCCGATACAGACAGCTCATTGCTTTTGTATCTTGACTGATGATATCCAGGGTTCCTTCTTGACGGATCTGACGATCATAGAATCTTCTCTAGAAGTGGTGGAACGCGGTCATCCACCTTTGTTATCTACTGCCAACTTCCCCATAGAACGATATTTGGAACATAGTCTTGATACGGTCCCATTTTTTCACGCGATATTTATCACAAATACTTTTTTGTGACATTCCACTTACGTAATCGCCAATAATTTTCTTTCTTAGTTCCAATCCAAGACTGTCGGGAGCCATTTTTGTACTTGAAGTCATAAAAATAATAAAAATAAACAATCACGCTTCTCAAGGCTTACCGTGTTACATTTAACTTGTGGTGATAAAATAATGCTCTGTGGAACACAACTTCTTGGTTGGATGTGGGCTGTATTGATGTAATGAAACACTTGCTGTATTTCACTTCTTGTATTGCTGTTCTTCGATACAACACTTTGATAAAACTCACTTCGATAAACTGTTTTGATAATAATGACTGATTGACTTCCATATACTGACTGAATTACATGTCGGTTACATGCAGATCTGGAGACTCGAGTCAACTGATTCAAACTCGAGTCCGACTTAAGTCACACCAGTGACTCGACTCGAGACTCGACTTGGGTTTTACCCTGAGACTTGCGACTTGACTCGAGACTTGGTAATTTCGGCTTAGCGACTTTAAAATTATTATTTTCCGTCTCTTCAAAAATGGAGCAATTTATCATCTATTTTAATTCAACTGTTTTGTAACTATTTTTTATTTTTGAATGTTTTTATTTCAACTTACATTTAACTGGTTTGTAGTCTAAACGAGATCCGGAGAAAAATATCGCATTTAGGCTCTTTCGTTTCCAAAAAATTCCAACTTCTTTGTGTACGTTTTGATTAGTTTATTTTTTCTTTAACTCATGAAATTTATTGTTTTGTTTTTTTTGTTTTTTTTTTTTTTGTTCTTATTACAATTTTATTTGGTATAATATCGTTTTACATAAATTAAAAGAACACGGAAACTCGAAGAGGATGGCAAGATCCTGTCACCGAGAACCGTTTAAAAAAAATAATAATAATAATAATAAAAAATAATAAATAAATAAAGTGTATATATACATATACATATATATATGTGTGTGTGTGTGTGTGTGTGTGTGTGTATGTGCATGTGTGTATATATATGTACACACACACACACACACATATATATATATATATATATATATATATATATATATATATATATATATATATATATATATATATATATATATATATATATGTATGTATATGTGTATATATATATATATATATATATATATATATACATATATATATATATATATATATATATATATATATATATATATATATATATATATATATATATATATATATATATATATATATGTATATATATATATATATATACATATACATACATACATACACACACATACATACATATATATATATACATATATATATATATATATATATATATATATATATATATATATATATATATATATATATATATATATATATATATATATATATATATATATATATATATATATATATATATATATATATATATGTGTGTACATATATATACACACATGCACACACACACACACACACACACACACACACACACACATATATATATGTATATATACATTTTATTTATTTTATTTTTTTTCATTATTACTATTATTTTTTTTTCTTTACAAACTAAAAATATGCAGCTTTGCTTGCCGTTTAAACGACGATATTTCATTTAAGTCTTTTAATTTTTGATTTTTCAAGTTTTGCCATATTTTAGGACCCTGTGATATAATTGAAAATTCATAACCCCGGGTTTTAGATTTTTTAATATAATAGTTATGGAAGCTATTTGATCGTAGATTATAACTTTGAGAAAATGATGACGAGAATATGTCTGAAAAAGAATTTGGTAGCATATTATTTTTATATTTGAACATAAAAATAAGAACCTGATATAAATTAAGTTTTTCCAAGTTAAAGACTTTCATATTTTTCATCGCGTTGGAAGGAATGTCCATTATGATAATGAATTGCTTTACAAGCATGGTTTTGCAAGCCTTGTAGTTTGATTAATTTTGTTTTGTGTGTATTAGCCCACACTATATTAGCATATGTAAGATGACTGTGAATTAGACTAAAGTAAAGTTTTTTTCTTGAACAGAAATCAAGAAACGGGCGACATTTATATAAAATACCTATTGCACATGATATTTTTGTTTCAATGTGTCCAATATGATTTCTCCATGATTAATTTTCATCAATATGAACACCAAGAAACTTTGCATATTTTTCCCGTTTTATTGTTATGTTGTTAATGAGCAATTCTGGAATTTTTAACGGTAGAGACATTGATTGACATGTTTTATGAAATAAGATGTAGTTGGTTTTTTCACAGTTTAAGGATAGTTTATTTGCTCTAAACCATAAATTAAAGTTTTCCAGTTCATTATTCATTGTTTTGAACATCGACTTTGAATTACTATGATTATAAAATAAAGTTGTGTCATCAGCATACATTATTGAAGATACTATAGATGATGCTTTATGCATATCATTGATGTAAATTAAAAACAATAACGGTCCTAAGATTGAGCCTTGAGGAACCCCACACTCAATATCAAGAACACTTGAGTCTTTGTTTATTACAAACTGCTTTCTGTTACTCAGATAGCTTTTTACCCATTTATACATTAGTCCTTTGATACCATAATGTTTTAATTTTGATAGTAAGATGTTGTGGTCAACTATATCAAATGCTTTTGTAAGGTCTATAAATACTCCCAATACATGATCCCCTTTATCAAAAAATTGAAATATTTTATTAGTAAGTTCAATGATAACATGTTCTGTTGAGCTTTTTTTTTTTTTTTTAAAAAAAAGTTAAAAAAAAAAGGTAAAAAAGTTTAAAAAAAAGTTTAAAAAAGTTTTTTTTTAAAAGTTACTCGCGTAGATTTTTTTGATATTGGAATAAATTAATTTTGAAAAATGACGTTCAAAAATATACTAATGCGTTTATTTTCGTCACAATCTATATTTTGAGGTTAATTTCACGCACCACATAAGAACTGTTATTTAAACTAAATTATTTTTAATCAAATAGTGACCTTTATACGTCTAAAAGCGGTGTGCATTACGCATGTACGAAAACGCTTCAAGAGGTTTTATTAATGATGAATGACACGCATTATTATTCATAACCGTTAGTGATTGAACTTAAATTTAAATAGTGAGAGTTAAAAAACATACCCCCACCATCCTTGTCTTAGCTTCAAATTTGGTTACACATTATTGAGTATTTGCAAGTATAAATTGTTCTCATCATTTTTATCGGAACACGACATTTCACTAAGCAAATATTCTGAAAATAAACTTCGATAGCAAATAATGCTTTTTTGGCTCTTTTTTTTTTGGTGCATATTCTTGGGATTAATATATATAATTTGAAACTAGTTACTGTTTATTATTTCTGGTGCTTTATTGAGGTTTAATAATATGGCAAAACACAAAAAAACTTTTAGGATGTTAACTGAAAACCAAAGTTGATGAATTTATCTGGTTTCTTTAATGGAAACCGGTATACTGCAAGTAAAGAAGATTCGACTTCTTTTTTTACTGTTATGCTAATACAAATTTTGAATCAGATTTTTTAATTTAAAACATACACATATAGATAAAACTTAGACACCAACTATAAAAATGTCAACTAATATCTGATAAATATATTACGAGAAATCCAGTGATTGTTATTATCTTATAGATATTATAAATAAAATTGAAAAACGATTAACTCATTTTGACATCTTTTCCAGTTTAAGAATGAGCTTAGGGAGTTTTAATGGATAAATGAAGATTTTCAACCGTTGCTACAGAGGTTGATCGGGATGGTTTTAAAAACTGGAAAGAAACAGTGTAAGGGAAACTAAACAATATTTATCTTTAAAAATATTATTATACGCATGTATACATTAGATAAACACACTCAGTGTGCATTAAAATTGTTTGCCATGTTTTAGAAAAAATAAGAATACGTTTCAATGGTTCCTTAATATTGTCATTTATTAGTATGCTTTATATACAGTTATATAATAAAATATATTTAAACACAATTCGCCAAGATAAAGCCAGGTCTATGAGCTGATTTAGATAAATGCATTACGGAACACTTAACGTATAAAAAATAGATTAAATACTATTCTATACTTAAAGGTTTTATATGTAGAAAAATGTGACGACAAAGTTATGTTTTACATAAACAATCTATCATCACTTGGCTAAACCATGGCAAACTAGTGCATAGTAAAAATTTACATAAAATTTTCATCTAAACATATTCTAATTATTTCCTAAATAAAATAAAAAATACTGAAAATATATAATTAAAAATAAAACTCTTAGGTTTTCTTTTGAAAAAATTTTAAATACTAAAAATTATTGAAAACTCAAAAGAAAAAGAAAAAACAATCTAAAAAACAAACACAAAACTCTTCAAAACCAGAGCAGTTTGACCATTCATATTCTAAATGTTAGAGGATATTAAATACATTACAAACTATCTTCATATTATAAAAAATATAACACAATAAATATATACAACATGTAAATTTGAGAATTTCAACCAACTCTTTGTTGGAATAAACTATAGGTTAATATCTTTGTACATTATAATAACTCAAAATAAAAATAATTTACATGCGTTTTTTGTCAATTTTCACTTCACTATATAAACAATTGCTTAAAAAAAATTTTATACACAATTTTGGAAACTCCTCCTGTATATACTATCACATCTTAGTAATGAAGCAGAACAAGCATTTATTTGATAAAACAAACAAGTATTTAAAATAAACAACTAGCATGGTTATGTGTATGGAAAGTAATTGCAATGGTTTGTCGATGGAAGGATGAAAATTTATTTTACACAAGACTCTTCTTAAATGCTGTTTATCTTCATTTTTAAAAAATGCGACACTTTACATTTTAACATTTATTAAAAAAATAAATAAATATAGTTTAGTAGGAATCTATCAGAAATTTGCAAATATATTTTAAAAAGATAAAAAGAAAAATAATTTCCTTTTAAATATATAACTACTTTGAGGTTGCTATACCATTTTAGAACACATTTATAAAGCAGAGAAAAAGTAGATCCTACATGCCGACTAAAACTTGCATCATTTGATCTAATTCTTCAAAATAAGAATCTGCTTTTTTGCGGTCTATTGTTGCACAGCTCGGGAAAAAACGCCAATCAATATTATTTAAATAGGGAGGCAATGGAGTAAAAAATGATAATGTATCATCAAAATCATATAAAGCTATATCAACATCAGGAAAACTATTGTCAAATTCCATTTTATCTAAAGACGAAGAATTAGTAAAAACATGTGTATTATGAGAATCCCAACTTAGTTTCGAAGTTTTTGAATCAGTATCCTTTGTTTTTCTTTGGTCACCTATTGCTCCAAATTGATTTTTATCACTATTTTCAATAGATGGTTTGGCTTGGTTGATAATTTGGTTATTATTATTGTCAATGAAAGAGTATTTTAGTGGTTGCTTTAGAGCTGTAGTAGGAAAATCCTTGTTAGTTTCAAATTCTAATAGCATTTCATTATCCATTTCATTTTCAATGTTTCTAACAGTATTTGCTATAACAACTGAACGAAAGAGTGATGGCTCTTTTCTACCTTGATCTTTTTGAATCTTACATATTGACATATTTAAAATCATTTGACGGAGAGCAATTCTTTCATTTTCCTCCGTGTTAGATATTCTTCTTTTTGATCCACACAATATATCAATCATGTTGGAACCTAAAATTTTAACATAAATGTTAAATCAAAGCTATAAAAAATAGTTTACTTTTTACTTTTGCCTGTATTAATTGCAGTTTTTATTTCTCAAGTAGCACATAAACTCTTATTAATTGCAGTTTTTATTTCTCTAGTAGCACATAAATTTATTTATTTGAATACACACTAAAATACATAATATGGGAAATCTTAAACTTTTAAGGATTCGATTAGGTTTCTAAATATTTAAATCTTTAATTATACCTAAACCTATTTTATATATATTTTAAATCTATTTTGTAAAATAGGAAATCTTTAATTGATTCAAATTTACAAATATTACACTACAGTTGATCAAACAATTTTTTTGTGATTGATACCATTGGTGTAGTGTTTATAAAAAAAAATGTTTATAAAAAAAATTGGGTTTTTTAAATATGTTTATTTGAAATTATTATCTACTTCTTAGAAAAGACCAGAACATATTAAAAAAAAAAAAAAATGAAGCCATTAATATACGAGACGTACACACACATGTATGTATGTATGTATGTATGTATGTATGTATGTATGTATGTATGTATGTATGTATGTATGTATGTATGTATGTATGTATGTATGTGTATATATATATATATATATTTATATATAAAACATGCCTGTCATACAATGTGTGTAAAAGATACAATATAATAAACTCTTATGTTCCTACAATGATAAAGTAATTTTTTAAGATTATAGATAATATTATAATATTTTAAATTATATATTTTAGGAATGGTTTGTCCCATCCAAGAACCGGATGGAAATATCTCGCTGCGATGTAAAAAATAAAAATCTATTATTAGCTATTTGAAAACATTTTCACCTCATATGATTATGATTTTAAATTATAACTCACCAATAAAAATATTTTAAAAGAATCAAAATACTTTTTTCTAAATCCTTACCAAAAGTTAAATATATGGTGCAACAGTCGTAAGGTTAGATTCGACAAGAACCACTAATTCTCAGACAAGAAATAATGCTTTCTTTGCAACCTTTGGTCTGGCTTCACCTTCCTATTAAAACTTAAAGATCGTATACGTAAATTAAATTGTATATATGTAGCCGTGGTTGTGTAAACATTAGAAAACCTGTTTCAGTTGAATGATTTCATAACTCAATTGTATTATGGGTACGGCTTTATATGGACTTACACGAAGCAATTTCAAAACAACTGCGAGTCTATGACATAGGTTCGCAGTGGTTTTAAAATCGCTTCGTCATAGGCTTTATTACATATTTCCTTCTCTTATTTATTGACGCAATAGAGTTGAAAACGATTATGCATAAATTAATCAATTGAAATTGTAAAAGTAAATTTATATCATCAGATTTTACTTGATAAAAGCAGAAGTTAATTTTTAGTAAAAAAGACTAATTTCTAATTTAAAACAAATGCAAAATTTTTTAATTGAAAAAAAATATTTTTGTACTAAATTATGTTTAAAACTTAATATGCGAAGTTCAAACTTTTAATTTTCAACGCAACAAGTTGTGCACTTCGACTATTATTGACTATTTTACCAGACTATTTGGCGAGACTTTTGTTTGAGAATTTTCGGCTAGACATCTATACCCTTACACATTATTTCTTAACAATCTTTTAATAATAATAAAAAATATTTAATTGCTATGTCGGATATCGGATATTTTAGCAGAAATTCTAAAAACGTAAGTAAAAATAGAATTTATTTTATTTAGTCGTCATTAAAAAATAATATAACTCATAACCATTGGGTAATTAAGTTAAATGTAATTAACTCGATTGCGCAATGCAAATCACAAAAATAAACCTTTGGACAAAATTCTTTTTTTTTTTTTTTGAAGTTCTATATATTTTTTATTTATACACTATTAATGTATACTTTTATCGTTTAAATTTAGGAACAAATAAATTCATAGCAGGTGTTAGTTACCAAGTATGAAACTGTTTACAAAGTATATAGATTAAAACAATATATAGATAACGTTTTAACAAAAAAAAATCTGTAGGAACTATTTTGTGTATTTTGCATGAGAACAAAAAAAAACAAACGGATAATAGGTTATTTTTACACTTTTTTAAATTTAGTTTAACCATACTCATAAAGTTTACAAAATAAATAATAAAATTTCACAAACATTAGTTGAGCTTTGAGATATATAGATTGAGTTTTACTTAACATATACATTTTCTACCATTTATTATTTATAATATAGGGGAAGATTGCATAAGTTGAGCATATTAACTGTGCATTTTGAAGTGTTTTTTGAAGCCGAAATATTATAATATATATGTTTTTGCAGATTAACATAATTTAGTCTTTCCTCTTTAGTAATTTAAATAAACATTTTATTTTAAAAAAATCTTTAAACCAAAAATAACGTTATTTTCAACACACCCAATCATCTGAGTGTGTTGAAAAAATGGAACTCAAAAAAACTCAAAATAACAAAAAAAATAATCACACACAAAAAAAAATCTTTAAGGACTATACTATAGTAAAAAGCAATTATCTCAACTATAAAAAAAAAAGTAATAAAGAAATAATCTTTTCTATCTCTAAAAAAGTTTGCGATTCTATTTTTGAAAAAACTTTCGCTCTTGAAGTACCAAAATAAAAAGCTCCGTGGAGACTTTTGGTAAAAAAACTGTTCCTAATAAAAAGCCGCATCTCATCTTGAGCGTCTCAAAACGTATCATTTACTTGAGCAACTTCACCAAGTACTATCATAATTAAATTGCTTGATAACATTATGTATCTCATATGTATTTCATTATGTTTTATGTATCTCAAATAATCCATGGAATTAGCATATAGTATTGAGGATATAATAAAATTTTGATGACCTTGTTTCGTTTTGACGTAATTACAAAATATTGAATAATAAAAAATTATAAAGGGGATAATAATAAATTTGACAAATTATTAGGTGTTTAAAATATATAACCATATAAAGTTTACCACTTCCTAAAAATGAAGTTACTCCCATATAAAGTTAATCACCTCCTAAAAATATAGGAGTATATATATTTTTATGGGTATATTTTCTAAACATGATAATACTATAAAATTAAAAAACCTATGAACGAATTTTTATCTAGTCTAAGCTATTAAAATTTTTTGAACATTTAAGTGTGCAATACCTATTTTTTTGGGTATTTTGTTATCCGGCTCAGTCAGGGCAATTTTGGCTATTTAGCCCTATAAAAAAAAGATGAAGTTTGGTCTGGAGTAACTAAAAAAACATTGGTTTTATTAAATTTTCGACCTTATTCATGCGCATGGTCCTTAATGAAGCGTTCAAGATTATAAATTACATGTTTGTCGTTTGAATACAGCATTTTTTCAATAACGTCTTTTATAAATTTCAAATTTTAATTATTATAGTTATAACTTTTTTTATTAATTTTTGAATATAATATCTATAATTCATTTTTATCATCATTTTTATTTGTTTGGTTTATTTATTTCGTCATTAAAAAAAAAAAGAATACAATGCCATGATATATAAATAAAATCTACATGACCAGGGCTAAAAGAAGACAATATTTGCCTTATAACTACGCCCCGATGTGCTATCATCAGCAAGCGTGTACAACCATTAAAAGGTACCATTTAAAAATTATATACAAATATTTACAAGTATATTAAAATCAGTTACTAATGTATAATTAAAAGAAAATCGTAAAAATAAAATAAAAAGTAATCACACCTAAAAACTAAAGATAAGTTAATAGGATAATTTAAAGAATATTTAAATTAGAGACAAGTTAATAAGGCAGTTGTTAAAAAAAAACTTAAAAAAAAAAAAAAATCTTAAAAAGAATTTAATTCATTAACATCGTTAATAAGTTTTTGTTTGAGTTTTTATTTGAATTGAGAAACTGAAGAACAATTTTTCAGCTGCTTATTTATTTAATACAATGTTCCGTAATGTAGGAAATCTGATGGCAATAGAAAATTTAGAAACCAAAGAGTGCATTTTAGGTTGCTCATAATTCTAATTTGAAAATCTTGTAGGGCATACATGATTAATTTTATTTATTATGAAGTTTGTACATAAATATACGAATTTGATAAAGGTTTAACAGAAAAACATCGAGTATGTAATGATTTTGTAATTAAAGTTCTTTAAAATGTATGAATTGACCTGCACTTGAAATAATTTTGATAGCATGTTTTTATCTACAAAGCAGTTTTTTAGATTACTTACATTAGAGCTGCATCATGTAATATTTGCATAGTTTTTAAGCAATTATGGTTTAATAATTGCTTAGCTTTGTATAGTATGCCAAAATTTTTCGAAATTTATCTTCTATCGTTCTTATGTGTTCACTCCATGTCAAGTTTTCGTCAAGTATCACTCATAAAAACTTTAATGATTACTCTCTATTTATTTTAGAGTTGCCAATATAAAGATCAGGAAGTTTTAATGAAATATTTTCTTTATCGTGAAGTCTATGAAAAAAAGTACATTTAATTTTATTTAAATTTAAGGACAATTTGTTTGCCTTAAACCATTCCGCTAGATTTAAATATTCATTGTTTACTATTTTAAATAAAAGGTTGATATCTCCATTAGAATAAAATAAATTCGTGTCATCTGCAAATAAAACTGAGTTTAAAATGTTTGAAAACTTATAAAAATTGTTTACATAAATAAGAAATACAAGTGAACCCAGAATTGAGCCTTGAGGAACACCGCTAGGTATACTCATGTAATCAGTTTTTCCTTTATCATGCGAAATGCTCTGTTTTATATTGTTTAGGTAACTTTTGAGCCATTCTAAATATACACTTTTAATACCATAACTTTCGAGTTTTTTTATAAGTATGCTTTGGTCTACTCTATCGAAGGCTTTGCTAAGATCTATGAAAACTCCGAGGGTAAACTTATTTTTGTCAAATGCTTTGAATATATCGTGAACAATATTAATAATGGGATTGTCAATTGAACACCCTGACTAAAATCCAAACTGTTTATTATATAGAATATTATTAATATTTGGAAAAGTCAAACTTTAATTATACATATTTCTAAGATTTTAGAGAAGCAAGGTTTGAAATTGGTCAGTAATTTTCAGGATTAGAAATGTCTCATGTTTGAAAATAGGTATGACTATCGCAATTTTAAGTTTCTCTGGATAAATACCTAGATTTAAAGAGAGATTAAAAATATGTAAAAGAGGGATTGGTAAGTATTTTATCGATTTTATTACTACTAATATTAACAAACTTCACACTTTTGTTAAGTTTTAAAAGATATACTACACCTAAGAGTTCACTTTCAGTAATTTCATAATTATCCATATTTGAGGACTTATTAGTATACTATTTTTTAATAATGATTAAGAACCAAAGTTTTAAAGAAAAGAAAAAATTTAAAAAATTTTTAAACTGATTTTTAAATGTCTACCGAGTATGTCGATATTTGGTATTTCGTGTTATAACATATGTAATAAAAACAACATAACAACATGCAACAAATAAAAAAAGAAAAAATGAGCATAAGTATCATATAAAATATAAAATAATAAATATCTATTATTTTATATAGAACTTGCAAAACACCAAACAAAACTTTATTACCTAGAACTGCATTAGTAGTACTCATAATTATTTTAGAATTTGTTATTTCTAAAATATAGCACAACCAGTGGAGTCACTAGAAGTGAGGAGGGTACGGCTCGCACCGGGTGACACCATAACAACCTGACATAGGGGCGTGATACCAAAATGAAAAAGGTAAATATGACAGAACTGTTCATGCTTGTGCTAATTTTTTTACTTACTTTTATCATTATTGTTTTTATTATTATTGTTTTCATAATTATTTTATTATTTATTACATATTGTTTTTTAATTAATTTTCATACCTAACACTGTCAGATATATAAAACACTAATATCTCCAGAAGAAACTAAAAATCATAAAGTGATTGCAAACCTTAAAGTAAAGATATTAAATGTGGTAACAAAACACTGTCTGCGAAAAGGTTGTTCGTTGTAAACAAAAACTTACGAAAATTTCGCATTTTTATCTTCCGTATTTCAAGTTGCTATTGGGGAAGTTGTATATGCACA